TGCTGGGCTTGAGAGCGGTGTGAAGAGAAGCGCCTTGTCGGGCTCCGAAAGGTCCTCAAGTCCGCACAAGGACAGCTTGATAGACGCGACGGTATGAGGAGGGGCAAAAGACTTCGTTGGAATGCGACCAATGAAACGGTCGTTGTGGTAGATGGGGCGATTTGATTCGAATGCACCGAGTTTGGTGTATAGACGGTAATATACTGCATCAGTAAATTAGGCCATTCAAACCATCAGTAGAGCTTTCGGTATAGGACGCACCATAGCTAGGACCTGTCCTTGTTGTTGACTTTCCTACTTTTGCTGCTGAATCTGTATCCCCTTTGCAGCCCGAAGAGGCTGTGGAACTGGACGGATGATCATGACCAGGCAGAGTAGACATAGCTGCTTCAACCAGCACCTATTGAAACGTCAGCAAGATGGACAATTGAAGGAAAGAGTTATCGGACATACCTTCATCGATCGTCATACATGAGGCATTGGCGCTTATGCTGCCACCTCGCTGCCAGACCAAGTAGGATGTTCTGAAGTTGAACGAGTAGCTCCGCCTTTACTCCATCCAGTGCGTGCACTGGCCTTTCAAAATTTCAAGCTCCCAACTTCCCGAGTGGAAAAGTATCGGAACGCAAATTTCATGAGAATTCACGATTATATTTGAGAAGAGGCGGCGATAAAGGTTGTGATACAGTTCTGATGGTGCGCTGGGAGGAAGATAGTGGTTATTGAGGAGGGGAAGTGGAGAAAGTGCAGGGTTGGCACGAGTCACGACGAACTCTCACAATCTCAGTTCGCCTCGCTTCCGCTTTATCTCTGACTTCGACCTCACATCCTTCGAGTCTACCAACAAACAAAGCGCCGTCTTCCAAAACATACCGCCTAAAGTGGTCCACGGCGTATAGGTCTTCGCCACGGCATGACGGCGAAGTTTCTCAACACGTCACTATATACCTCCCCCATGGCTTCGTCGGAAGTTCTCCTCGCCCATCTTGCAACGATATTCTCTTCAATCTCAAAGGACCCTATGTGCGTATCTTACATCCTGCTCGCACACCCACCTCTTACGAATGTTTAGACACTGGATGAGACTCAGCTCAATGATGAAAAGCGCGCTATCTGGTTGTGCTGCAACACTACCAAGTCCTCCGATAATTCAGCATTTCAAGTTTTCCACGTTTGACAGTCGGGTCTTCTTGTCATGCGAGAATGGCGTTACCTCACACTGTTCACGGAGCCTCAGGGAGTGGCTCTTCAGAAAAGGTCACTAAACTCAATACTCTCGTGCCCGACCTTTGGATCATCCCTTGTCAACGGATCGTTGAAGAAGGGCAAAGACCAGCTGTTCTAAGCACCCTGATTCCTTCTGAAACTCGCAAATCACGGTGTGTTTCATGCCAACGAAGTCTCGTTTATCGTCGTAACCTTATCGTCGCCATTTCAGACAAATCCTGGGATAAATTTGAAGGCCCAGACACTCAGAAGTGGCTTCGCACATGGGTTTTCCTTGCACAACGCTCCAGGAAGTTCCGTTTCTCAAAGGTCGACGGTCTTTTGGCGGAAATACAAGCAGATTTGGAGGACCAAAAAGAGACTTTCTGCCATCGAAGCCGTTGGCCAGTACAACAGGCTTCTCAGTTGGAGGGGTTGTTTCTTCACTGATGACGTGAGCTCACGAAATCTCCTCATCATCCTCCCTAGTTCTCACCATCGTCGTCTAGAGCATTCTCTACTTGTTCGGATGGGGCTCTTTACACCAGCTGTCCAGATCAAAGATGAAGGGACCCTTTATCTTCCAAACGGTTCTTGTGAAATTGCGCGAGTTCGTCAAGACAAGTTGAAGGTCACTCAACTTCCGTACTCAAACATTTTCTACCTTCACTGACAATGCAACAAGGCATTGGAATGGTTCTTTCTTCAACCGAAGAGGGTCAAGAATATCACTTCGAATGGGCCCACCATTTCGGTTGGCATTGAATGTCCTCCGCCTTTCTTGGTTACCACGACGACGAAGTCCATGAGGAAACAGCCATCGTGCACTTCCGCGACCTCCAACGATGCTGGCTAGCTCTTTTCAACGTATGTACCCTCTTCGCTTCTAGTTCTCGGACTACTGACAGACTTGACACAGAATCACGCCTCAAACATGTCTTCGACGATGCCGTTACTAGATGCCCTCCCTGTTGCTGTTTGGTCCCACGTCTTGTTTGATGAAATTCTATTGGGGTGAGTTACGGGGTAGTCTGATCCTACTGAACACGTACTAACCTCTAAGACAGTCATCGTTGGGTAGGCCACTTGCGTTGCTCAAGTGTGGACTTCCTCCTATTAACATCAAGGGGAATGGGACATTGGACTCTCAGCTGCATAGTATGCTTGCAAGAACACGGGCAAAACGAAACACTTGACCAACACTTGACCATTGGGTTGCTGTCAGTCTCGAATGGCTTATGTAAGGATCGCGTCCTCCCTTTGACGATCTTTTCTTTGTCTCGTTTTCCCTTTTATACAGCTATGATTTCAAGGTACGTCTTTTCTATCTCTCCCCACTGTTCCACCGCCCATTTCCTATCTACAGAACGATTGCCTTCTCCCCATGCCATTGGCAGTAGCTTGCCTCGGTTTCATCCTTCTTTTCACCATCATCTTCTTCAACTCTCTCGTATGTGCGTTCATCTATGTTACGGGTCGGTATATCTATGACGGATTATACCCTGAACACCGCTGGACTTGCAACGAGGACGAAGGCATAATGACAAGTACAAAGGATTCATTGATCGCCCGACACTACACGACGGTCTATTTGATCCTGGACACCATGCGCTCCAGAATCAAAGGCAAAACGTCAACGATACACAGAATGTTGAGAAGGTCTTTATTGAGATCTCGGACGACTCGGACTTGGACTTGGACGTTCCTTTGGTAAGTCCTTTCACTGTTTCCGCCTTTCAAGGGTATTGAATATAGTGTTTGGAAGTCCGGTCTCGTGACTGGGAAAAGACCGTAACCAGACCGGACCTG